AGGATATATAAAGAACTCAAAAAACTTAATACCAAAAAAACAAAAAAACAAGCAAACAAACAAACAAACAAACAAAAAACAACCCAATAAAATGGGCTAAGGAACCAAACAGACACTTCTCAGAAGAAGATATACAAGTGATTAACAAATATATGAAAAAGTTTTCAACATCTTTAGTAATTAGAGAAATGCAAATAAAAACTAAGATTTCATGTCATGCCAGTCAGAATGGCAGTTATCAAGAAAAAGTATTGGAGAGGTTGTGGGGAAAGTTACACTCATACTTTGCTGGTGTGACTGCAAGTTTGTGCAACTATTTTGGAAAGCAGTGTGGATATTCCTCAGAAAACTTGGAATGGAACCACCATTTGACCTAGCTATCCTACTCCTCGGTCTATACACAAAGGATTTAAAATAAGAATAGTAAGCCACATAGCCACACCAATGTTTATAGCAGCTGAATTCACTATAGTTAAACTGTGGAAGCAAACTAGATGCCCATCAATAGATGAATGGATAAAGAAACAGTAGTATATATACACAATGGAATATTACTTAGTGTTAAAATAATAAAAAAATGGCATTTGCAGGTAAATGGATGGAGTTAGAGAATATTATGCTAAGCCAAATAAGCCAATTCTAAAAAATTAAAGGCTGGATATTTTCTCTTATTAGTGGATGCTGATCTGTGATTGGAAGTTGGGCATGGGATGAATGGAGGAACTTTATATTGGGCTGAGGAGAGGTTATGGGGGTAGGAAAGATGGTGGAATGTTATGGACATCATTACCCTAGGTATACGTCTGATTGCATGAATGCTGCATCTCTACACATACAACAAGAGAATTGAAATGTTGCACTCCATTTGTGTATGATGAATTGAAATGCGTTCTGATGTCATGTATAATTAAGTAGGACAAATAAATTAAATAATAATAATAAAATATAAAACAAAATATAAAATAGTAAAAAAAAAATAGAAAAACCTCAGACCCAGGAATGTACTACCTACATGGAACTTACTTTTAATCTGAAAATATAAATAGGTAAAAGTTAAGGAAATCAAGGAAACCTGGAATTGTTGGATTATTGATTATGGTAATGTCTCACAGTTGTGTACATACATCAACATTTACCAAATTGTACACTTTATAGTTTTTGAATAACAATTATATCTAAATAAAGCTGTTAAATATTATGACATTGTAACTCAGTGGCAAATGCTTGCTTGGCATGGTGAGGCACTGGGTTCAATTCTCAGCACTGCATATAAATAAATAAACACAACAGAGGCTCATCAATGACTAAAAAATAATCTTTAAAAAAGTATGGTAAATATGAGAAGTGGCGAGACTAAAATTTTATAGCAGTGGAAGGTTAGTTTAGAAAAATAGATGTGAGTCTAACTTTGAAGAAATTTAAACATTAGACTCTAGAGACCAAGTATTGGTATTTTTTTATAAAGGAGTATATAGCATGTACTTTAGGCTATGTATATCAAGAGCCAAAAATCAAATTTATCTCAAAATTATACATATTTGCTGTACAAAATCAGGTACTGAGTCACATTTAGCCAAATAACAATGATTTGCAATTCCTGCTTTAGAAAATAGAGCAAAATGCTCCTTCTTCATACTTAGAAATGTAACCTGTGTTAACTGTGGAGTGGACTTGAACAGGGACAAAATAGAGACAGGTAGACCTTAGATGAATGTAGTAGTCCTAGAGATGTGGATTTAAATTATAGATTCATATTACTGTGGAGAGAAGCTATAATAACTAGAATCATTGTAGGCAATGAAGGACTGAGCTGAGTATCTATATCTGTATAGCTTTTTCTAAAAGAAGCAAAAAACTGCCACATCAGGTAACTTTTAACTTTCCAGCAGTATTCTGTACACTACTGACACATGTTGGGAATTTTTCTTATCTTGGTTGCAAACAATCAATCAAGAAGTGCTTTGTTTATGTTGCTCTCTGGAAGCAGAAGCTTACATACCTTATAAACAGAAACAAGGGAGTAACAGAAAGAATAAAGGGTATATCAAAGTGCAGTGAAAAATTTTCAGAAAGTACTGATATCCCATTTTTAGCAGAAATACAATCAAAACCAAACCAAATGGATACACAGAATGCTCATTCCAAATAAAGTTCTTGTGATCTCACAGAGTTAGTAAACTCAGCATTTATTCATTTCACTCATTCAATTTTTCAAGCATTTATAAAAACTAAATATATGCTTGCAATCTGCTATGTATTGTAAATACTAGAATTGTGATGCCCATTTCTGCTTTGTGGCAGTCACAGGAAATTAAGGTTACAGATGCAATAAAACAGTTGTGATCTATTATGGTATGAGCTGATGAGGTTTAGGTTATATACTATTAATGTATGCTATATAAAGAAAATATAAATGCTTAGGACAATGGTATTTTAAGATTTTGTCAGCAGAATTATTTGTGTGAATACATATATGTATATGTATGCAGTAGCAAGAAAATCCAAATACGCATAGATGATAATTTGAAATGGAAATCTGATTTTTAAATAGCTAGGTCACCTTGCAATATTTATCCTTTTTCTGTCATAGTTAAATCACTTTCAAGATACTAACTACTTTTATCTCTTACTTATTATGCAATGATTCAGCAAGGAAAAAATTATAAATTTATAGTTAAGATAATGGTACCATGATCACAGTGTGCACTGAATCCGCATGTATGATTCTCTACAGAAATTTAGTTAACAGAGTAATCATACATTGTCCAGTTCAATTAAATAATTATATATTGAGCACCTACTATATGACGGGCACTAAGCACTATGCTAACCTGTTCTCCCAGAGCTTACAGCCATCCAATAAGTGTTTGCCAAAGAATAACTAATGTGGATAGAAATGGCTGAGATTTATTGAGAAACTAAATTTTTCTAGGAAGTTAAGTATAGCTTTGTTAAAGAAGTGAGACCTAACTCCTGACCTGGAGTTAGCAAAACAGGTGGGTCAAAAGATGGTGATAGAGGAGAGGTTTTTCAACAGAAGAAAAGGCTCAAAGCAGAAGAAAGGGCGTGGTGAATTTATAGAAATTAAGGGAGCCCCTCAGCAACTCATTCATTTATTGTCCAATACTCATAGAGGGCTTCGAATGCCTGGCACTCTTCTAAGCCCTGGAGAAGCACTTCAGTAAATAAAACAGACACAAATCTCTGTTTAATAGAGCTCACATCCTCATGAGGAATGGTTTCTAAAATTAAATATGTCATGTGTCAGGTATTGCTAAGTCATTTGGAAGCAAGAAAAACAAGCGAAGGGTAATATGGAATATTGTGGTATGGTGTAGCAGGAGTTGCAGTTTAAAAAGGGAATCATGCAAGGAAGCTTCACTGATACTATGTTGTTTAAAAAGAAGACCGGATATAAGGAGAGAGGAAGTCTTATGCATAGTTGGATAAGAGCAGTTGGTAAAAGCAAGCTTTCTAATATGCTCTCTGTGGCAGAAGCAAGCTTTTCTCTAAGCACAGAAGAAAATTCTAAGAGGAAATAGCATATTAGCTTAAAACCTTTCATATAAGATGTATATGTTTAAAATCTTGTATTAGTTATCGTGAATAAATAAATAAAATTTTTGTTGGTATAAAAATTAAGGTAAGAGCATACTACTTTATATAATAAACAGTGTTTATGGCTAAAATTTGAAGAGCTGACAAAAGAAGGAAATATTTCTTATCTGTCTTTAAAATAATATTTAAGTGATATTAAAAATAACAATGGAATGCTCTGAATGCAAGCTCTCCATTTAGATATACATATCTCTTTAAATTGGTTTATTAGATTTTTAATATTGTAATAGCTTAAAGATATTATTTAAGTTTCTCAAGAGGTTCCACTTTTGAAATTATTTGGAAATTAATAAAAACCCAAACATTTGGAATGGTAAATTGCATAATTAAGTAGAGAATATTTATTTAATGAAAAAATATAAATAAGTATGTTTTATTGAAAATTTTATGATATGTTTTCTTAATAATCCTTTTTAATAAATTCAAACTTCAAATTGCAGGCTTTTAAGGAAATTTTAATTATGAAAAATGTGAGCAGGGTTACCTATTATGTATATACTCTGAATTTCCACAGGTTTAGAGAAATATTTTGGTGACACAGTCCTTTTTCTTATTAACTTTTTAGCACTACCTTGTCATGAAGTAGAGAAGAGACTGATGTTGGTGTTCATATGCCACAACTGCTAATTGATACTAATACTGAATAACTTCTTACTATGTAAAATTAATAATTTATAGTTATCTTAAATTAATAGATCATTTAAAATATTTTAATAAAAGTAAACATAAACTATCAAAAATAACATAGTTCTACCATACAAAAACGAAAAAAAAATTAATGTGTACTTTTTTAGTTGTAGGTGGACACAATACATTTATTTTTATGTGGTGCTGAGAGTTGAACTCAGTGCCTCACACGTGCTCTACCACTGATTCACAGCCCCAGCCACCAGGAAAGAAAATCTAACTACTAACAGAGGTGTTAAAGACACATCAAGCCAAACTGGGGCTTTGTCTTTGCATAATTAGAAAGAATGAGGGGGAATGAAAATCTAAGTACACTTGAACCATATGATTTAGTTATTTAATGCCATCTCCCGAAATTCTACAAAATCATCTTTTTTACTGCCAATAATGGGCATCTTCTCACTTAGGTAAGCACTGATGTTTTATGTGTATGTGCATGTTTGTATGTAAGGCTGAATCAATACATGCCTTAGGTACACTTTTAAAAATTAGCAAGCAACCTCAGCTAAAATATGTCATGGTTGTGATACTAACATTGAATAGCTAATTAAACATATTAGTAACATATATATTGACCTTTCTGGGTATTTATGATGCTGAACTCTGATGTCTAAAATATGTATAAATTAAAATATGTTGTACAGAAGAACTCTAGCATAATAACTAAAAAGAAATTGTTTCTTCTGCTTTTACAGCTTGCAGACCAGGATTCTATAAAGCCTTTGCTGGTAACACAAAGTGTTCTAAATGCCCTCCGCATAGTTTAACCTACATGGAAGCAACATCTGTTTGTCAGTGTGAAAAGGGTTACTTCCGAGCTGTAAAAGATCCACCTTCTATGGCATGTACCAGTAAGTCTCTACATTTTGGATTTGCACATCCTGTTTCCAACCCTTTGGATTTCTTTATCTGAAATTTAAAAAAAAAATAAGTGAATGTACAAAATCCTGTATCATCAGTGCCATTTGTCTTTGATAATAGTCAAGGAAAAAGCTGTCCTTTTCAGCATGGTTGCTTTCAAAAACTTATAAAGAAAGTCTTTACTCCTCAAAATTTATACTGATCCTCAATATACAAATACCAGAATTGGCATGAGGCCCTGCAGATTTTCCCTAACCAAAAATCTGTCTTTAAGAAATTTCAGTAGTTTAAGACTACATGAGAAATTATAAATAAAACCTCTGTTCTTTGCTTTGACCTTTTTAAGGCACACCAATGTAGGATTATGAAGTTTTTTGTATGAGGGAGAATCCAGAGGAAACTTTAAAAATCTCTATAATTATTATGCAGAAAAGCTCTTTTCTTTAAAAGAATATACTTTTAAGTTTGTTCACATTTCACTTCACACTTTCTCTTCAGTTTTTTGGTTAGAGACAATAGAATATTAAATCTAAATGTGAGGTTATTTTATGCTGTCTAAAATTTAAAATTATTTTTGACTTCTAGTATTCAAGTATTGTGGAGTATTTGAGGATTAATTTATAAACTAGAAATGGATGTATTAATGAATTTCTAGGTGAGGCAAAAGGAAAATGTCACCCCTTAGTTATAAAAACTTATTAAAATCATAAACAACTTATTTTAGTGAAACTTGGCTTTCGTAGTGATAAATTGATACCAAAATGTTGCTTCTTTTATGTAATTCCACAGGAGCAAAAATAGATTGAGAATCATGTAATGTCATATTTTCTTTAGAGACAATGATGGAGATGGTCCATTTTTTGAACTTGACTGATGCCATTTATAAATTTGTCTGCATTACTATAGATTTCATTTTTTTATAGATTTCAAAATATTTTTGCAGCCAGGTGCAGTGGTGCACGCCTGTGATCCCAGCATCTCAGGAGGCTAAGGCAGGAGGATTGCAAAGTCAAAGCCGCCTCAGCAATAGCAAGTCACTAAGCAACCCAGTGAGACCTTGTCTCTGAATAACGTACAAAATAAGGCTGGGTATGTGGCTCAGTGGCTGCATGCTCTTGAGTTCAATCCCCAGTACTCAACCCCCCAAAAAGTTTTTGCAGATATATTTAATAAAAATTCAACGCATTCATTAGCGATAATTTTTACTTTCTGAGTATAAATACTTAAAGGTTTGTTTCTTCAGAAAATTAAAACCTGAGAAATAACTACTTAGTTTTTTTTTCAGAGAAGGTATTTTATGTTTATAAGAAAGAAAATAAAGATTCTGAATATTGTTGGTTCTCATTTAATTCTGAAGATAGTTTTAACAGAAAAACTTTTTATTAGTAAAGATGTGTAATCCCTTTTTTATATTACTACATATTATTGTATTATACTGTGGACAACACATTCCAGCTTAGCTATATGGAGCTATTTCAAACAGCTGCATTCCTGTGAGATGAGCATCCCTCAAAACCTAGGTAGGACACTGAGCAAAGTCTCCTGAGTGACAGAGGAGAATCTTCTCTATTTATTTATTTATTGGCCATAAATTGAGGGCATCAATTGGTTGCCATTCATAGAATCCTTCCAAGGTATAGTAGAGTAGGTAGCTGGGAAGGCTAACGTGTGGAGAGACTAGCTAAGGATATAAATGTAGGATCAAACAATGTACATGAATCCTGAAAGTTATCCAATTCATTGTTGAATCATATAGTTGTATTTATCAGCTTATCATTTTCTTTATTTCCGTTTTTAATGCTTGATAGTATAAATTACAGTTTAAAAATGCTACCCTGCCTTGGTCAGACTAAGAGGAAGCAAAGAAATTTATGATTCTATCATCTTTGGGCAGAGCTTTAGATAGGGAACAGTGTGCCATTTTTGCTATTGGGGAGAGAAAAACAATTTTCTTACTCTCTCTCTCTCT